GGAAGGAAGGAAGGAAGGAAGGAAGGAAGGAAGGAAGGAAGGAAGGAAGGAAGGAAAATTACATAGGTAGCCGTGAACGTGATATAAGAATGTAAGAAGAATCTGGCTCCCTGAAGCTAAAGGTTCATCTATCTGGACATCCAATTTCCCACTGTGGCTAGCAAGATGTTTCTGAAGAGCCCATAACCAAGATGTGCTCCTGCTTTCCCTGTGGCTGCATTCAGAGACAGCCTGCGACCAAACGCAAAGGTTTGATTGACCTATCACTGGGTAAAGTGATATATTTATTGGCATTTATTTCACGTATAAACGGTGTACCACATCTTTTTTAGCCTACAAAGGAAGACAAGAGAGGGCCACTTCTGCAAACTGGGGTATCCGACTCATGGACACAGGGCTCCCAAAAGAACGTACCCTTCAAGGAGATTCAACTTCTTTTCCCAGAATCCCCCTAGTCAGCAATGCTAAGGGATTCTAGGAAAAGAAGTCCAACCTATCTAGGGAGGAATAGCTTGGGAGAAATCTATCCTCCCAGTGCTTTCTCAAACAGCTTATCTTTGCCACTCCTGCGCCTTAAGCTGTTCAACCCACATGGTGGAGCACACTGCATCTTCAACAGCAACTGCTGCCAGACAGAAGTATGTTTCCAACAGATCTGCCCACCCTTCCTCCTCCACCATTCCAGCTTTGCTCTGTTGCTGGCCTGTTCCACTTGGGCTTTATTTGCAAATAATTAACTTAGCTTCAGGAGGCACTTTTCAAGACTGTTGGCTGTTTTTCTGCTTGCCATCTTGCGGTGGGTGATTGTTAAATGTATTTTATTTTCTTTCTTAATGTACTGGATGAAGATGAGCTCCTTTTTTATAACAAGCCAAATGATCCAGTCACAAATGGACTATCAACGAAACAAGCCCAGCAGATATACATTTAATTTGTGATGTGCGTTTTCAGCGATTAGATGACCAGCTGATTCATCGACTTCGACAATCTCTGGACATCTGGCCAAACTGCTGCCCCAACTCGCTCGCTTGCAAACGCGACGCAAGATTAAATATCTACAGTTCATCTAAATTAATATTGGCTAGAAGAAAAGATAAAGCAGGTGGCTGTATTTTGTTTCTTTGCTATTTTGTTTCCCATGCTGTAGATCCTTTTTAAGAGAAAGAGAGAAATTACTGAGAGGTGAAGTTGCATGAATGATTCCCATGTCAGTGAAGGGCATATATCTCCCCTTAAATTCAGGTGGGAGCCTGGTTGCGGTCCATCGATTTCCTCCCCCTTTAACTGCCAAGATCTTTCTGAATTTCTTTACTGGAACCAATAACTATGTCTTTCTTTGGCAGAACTCTCAAAAGCTTGAAAACAGGTGGGAGAAGTTGGCCTAGAAATGGAGGTGATGTCACTTCACGAACCATAATTACATACTCTCCTGAAAGATATAAAGGAAAGCTGGGAATTAGCAGACGGGTCTGGATTAACTGTTACCCTAAGCATGCTACAGAATAGGGCCCTGGAGGACAATTCCCAGGGTTTTGACATGGTGGACTGACTCCGCAAGGCCTACATAAGCAGCACGGATCATATGTCTTTCCAGGGCCGGTGGCTGGAATGTGTTTCCCCAACTGAGTTAAAATCTAAACTCCTCTGCCCTGCTAATTGATTATAGAAAATCCATGTATTTTAATTGAAGAAATGTGCCAAGGGCAGGGGGCTCAAAGCGCAGCCTCTCATGCTTAACCGCCTACTCATTTTCAAATGTAATGGCCAAGTAGATATTTTGCATCAACAAGGCAAATCCGACGCTTGGTTTCCAAACAGTCTCCACGAAGCTAGCTCTCCTGCGTGCTCTGGGAGACAGAAATCAATTCCGCCTCTCTGCCCTGCCACAAAATGGGATGCTGGCAACATTCAAAAGGCAAGGCGACCCAAAGGCAAGGGGAAAAAACAAGGCGCTTCTTCGCTGTCGACTTTTTTCAGAGTGAAGGCGGCCTTTTGGCTTTGAATGGCAGGCTAAAGGCCACCCTCTGCATGCAGCCTGCAAGGTTATATACCCCTTGACTAGTAAAATAAGATTTTCTGCTCCAACTGGGTTTGCAAAGGATTTCATTCCCCTTGAAGCGCTCACACCACGGGCAGGCAAAATCACACCCAGACAACTCGAAGTATTTGGACATAGATAACTTAGCATGTCCTGGAGAAAGGAGGCTCAGGTTCTTACTCATATATATTGAAATATGTGTCAAAAGTCAACTTGGCAGGCGTCGCACTCTGTCTTTCATTTCTCTCGCAACAGCAACAATCCTGGGGAACAGGTTGGGCTCAGAGAGAGGACAACTGGCCCAACGTGACCAGGTCACGTTTGAAGTTCGAGGAATGTGTAGCTGGACGAGCATCCAGTTTCTCTCTCTCCCCCCAGCATTGTAAAGAAAATTGGGAATAAAAAGGACTGTGCAAAATGAAAGCATACTGCATAAATTGCGATGAAGAAGTTAGGTTTTTAAAAACCCCAAGGAGTATGGATTTTAAGAGAATTGTCTAGGTGCTGAGGAAGCCCCCTCTGTTGATGGAAAGTGGAAACATCCTGGTTTAGATAGGGAGGCCTGACAGCAGAGTCTTCAGGAAAGAAATATTTTTGCCCCTTTTATGGGTTCCAACGTAACTGGCAAGGTTCAAAGCGACAGGGATTGTTAGAATACAAAAGAGAAAAGACGACTTAAAACAAAAAAGGGCAGGAGGGGGAGAAATGTTTGGTTGCCCTAGAAATGGCTCTGCTCCCATTAGTGTCCCTTTGTGACCCATACATCTTTTGGCACCAGAAACATATACACAACCTCACACTAAATCTGGGATTTCACAGCCGGGTGGGGGGGGGAGACCCTACCACTTTGGGGAAGGTTGCAACTCAAAATGGTTAATGTTGCTGGGCCTTCTGGGGCTCTGACCTTGGAGCAGGTCCCCAGAACTTGATGGCACATGAAGAGTCTTCTTCAAAAGCAGCCTTTTGAAAAAGGAAAAGACTGCCCTTTTCCCATTATGCTTTCCAAGATATTGTCAGTTTGTTAGAGGGGAAGAAAGTGCAGCACCAAGAATGCTCCTGTTTGGAGTTGCGGAGAGACAGACCTGGTCTCCTCCAGTGTATCACTGTTTCTAAGGCAGACTTCCCCAATCTGATGTCTTCCAGATGATTTGGAGCACTTCTCATCATCCACAGCCAGAATGGGATTGAAGTCCCACACACTTTGAGAACAGAAGTCTGGAGGACGTCAACCAAGGCCTTACGCCAGCCCATTTCTTTTCATTTAAGCATTCATCACCACCATTGACCAAGACAACGCTTTGTGGGGGTCATTCAACATCCTCACTCCTGGCTAGGCGCTTACTGGAGTTCATGGCTTTTTTAAAGCAAATGTTACAAACAAATTGCTGCTATCTGTTCAGCCCTGCTCAGTGTCGATCCTGATGGGCATTTGACCATCTGAGTTGCTGTTTGTTCCCCTGATGAAGAAACAAATCCCAACACTTTCTTCCAAAGATGTTCTTTCCTATGCTATAACGCCACTTCTATAAACTTGGATTACTGGTCCATTTTATTCCACTCTGTTTTAGACAGAGAGGGGATTTCTCCCATTACTGACTCATCCTAATAGTTTCAGATGGAAATGCTAGGGAGTGAACCCAAGACCTCCTGCATGCAAAGGAGTTGCTTTTCCACTGAGCTCAACACATCCTTAACTTTGGCATCTGGCCAGAGGAAACCAATCCAGTTCCAGCAAGTTGAATTTAAACCTGGTCTTGGAGAAAGATTATTATTTGGAACATGGTAATTCTCTGCTAACTTCGCCTCCTGGTCCAAGAAACCAATCCAGTTCCACCAAACCCGGTTTTGGACACTCGTTTTCATTCGGAGCATGATATTTCTCCCCGACTTTGTTTCTGGGGCCTGGAACCAATCCAGATGCAGGAGACTTGATCGAAACCTGGTCTTGAAGAGCGAATAAGGTGCTTCTCCCTAACATTTTCAACTGGCCAAAGGAACCCATCCAGTTCTACCAAACCAGTCTCAGAGAGGGATCTTGAGGGAGAATATGAGAGTATGGTGTTGCTCCCCATGCTGCTCACAATTCTACAAATTTATGTCTCTTTTGGATTACCTCCTCTTTCCTGGTCTTTCTGGTCTTGGTCAGCATGTGGGGAATCTGAGCTCTTCCTCCTTCGGCTATACAACCTGCCTCTGCCTCTGCTTGACTGGCAGCTGGGACACACTCAGATACCTCCCCCCCCAGCACTAAAGTGCAATTTCACACCTGTCGCTTGACCTGATAGCAGTCCAATAATTACTTGGCTTCATTCAACCACACCGGTTTCAGCCACGTGCTTGTATATTAAGGAATTGCATAATAATACCTCGCCACATTAGTGTTGTGGTGCTTGCATGACAACATAGTCACTCTGCAGCCCACAGCCTATTCTGTTGGAAGTCACGCTAGGATGAAAACTGCCAGGTGCTTTGTCAAGCAAAGCCATGCAGGTCTCAAAGCTGCCAACCAGCACAGAGGGAACCAGGAACTCCAGAGATATCAATGGCCGTTCTGCTGAAGGTTGTCAACGTGTTTGACAAAAGGTTTAAGTACAGGGTGAAACTTGGATGAAACAAGGACTCCTCTGCTGCAAAACGCAACATTATGGAAGGTTCTCAACCTGGCAGTCAAAAATAGAACACGCAATCAATATTTCAGAGGATTAACATGATGAGCGTGTTATTATGGAGCTGGACTGGGGCCAGGACACCTGGGTTAGCAGCCCCTGAATTCAAAGGGGAAATATTCAAGAAGATTTTTCTTATTTAGTCTAGGGCTAAATTGCACAAGGAGACACCTCTGCAACTGTACGAAAAGTTGGGAACATATTGCCATTGTGCTTCAAATGAAGCACCAGCCTGACACAATGCCCAGAATGAACAGAGGAAAGTGTACATGAAGTTGCTCAATAGAGATTAGTCTTAATAGGGAGGAACATGCTTTGGCTGCAGCCAAAGTGCTCTGATTTTCAGAGGAAGGTCTGTATTTCCAAGGAATGTGGGGAGAGTTCAGCTCATTGTGCTTTGGGAAGGTAAATATCTGCACCAGAAGACCCACTGTGAACTGATGACATTGTTACCTGTACAGATGGATTTGCTGTGCAGTATATTCAGTAGATACACTTCTGAACTTTGGTGTTGGAGAAGACTCCTGAGAAGACCATGGACAGTCAAGAAAACAACAAATGGATCATCAAACAAATCAACCCAGAGTTCTCACTTGAGGCACAAATGACCAGGCTCAAATGATCCAACTTCAGATACATGATGTGAAGACCAAGCTCTCTAGAGAAGGCTCTAATGCCGGGGAAGGTGGAAGGAAAGAGAAGAAGAGACGACCAGCAGCAAGGTGGAGGGACTCAATTACAGCGGCGATGAGTGCACCATTGGCAGATCTGAAAGACCAGGTTAGGGGTAGATCATCACGGAAGAAATCTATCTATCCAGTCACAAGAGTTGACACTAACTTGATGGAATCAATCAATATTCAGTAGATACTTTGTCCCATGAACAGCCTTGTTTTCGGAACCACTCAGGAGATAAGAGGCAACCCATGTGGGTTTTCCTTTTTCCGGTAACCCCTCAGCTTTCTGTGCTAAGCACCAGAAAATATAAGCTTTCTCCATAGCCAGACTGGAGGAATCATAGACTTCTTAGTTGTAAGGGGGCTTACAAAGCATCAGATCCAACTTCTATGGGCCCATG